GTGTTCTCCGAGTTCTCCGAGTCCGATCGACTCGGGTATTACACACAATGTTAAACAGACCCAGGACCCGAATGGGACCCGAGGGACCCGACCCGGACCCGGCTGATGATTGAAATCGCGAAATGGCCTTAAACAATTAGTAAATAAACTGCAGAACGTTATGTTTTCTAATACACGCGCGCATTGCATGTATTCTGACAGCGCTGCACAAACTCGCAGCAGATCTGCTTGTTACCCAGGGTTCAAAGTCCAAAGCGCGAGGAAAATCTGCGCTGAACCAGTGTTACTCGTTTTTTACAAGGCATGTTGATATGTAATATGTACGACATATTCGTAATGACTCATTTATAAATCTGCTGTTGTCAACAAAAAGAAGGTCTTCCTGCTCACACATAGTGTTCAAATTAGAATCTGTAATATTTTCTAATGTTTTAAAAGAAGTCTCTTCTCAGCAAGGCTTCTTTTAATTGTACAGTAAAAAAATACATGCCGGATTCAAGAAAGGGGTCTGATGGCCAAAAAATATTATTTTACTAACTTATTAATTTTAAGCTAAATTGTGCTTTGTTGGTATAGTGTTTGCTAGAATGTTAAAAATGTTCAGAGTTAAATATTTTTACATTGTTGTTTTGTAATTGATTTTTTTCTTTGAAAAGCCAGACAAAACTGTAAAAAGCACATTTTGGCTATTTAATTTAAAGGGATAGTTCACCCAAAAATGAACATTTGATCTTTATCTGCTTACCTCCAGGGCATCCAAGATGTAGGTGACTATGTTTCTTCAGTAGAACACAAACAAAGATTTTTAACTCAAACCGTTGCAGTCTGTCAGTCTTATAATGGAGGTGAATGGGAATCACGGCTAAAACATACAATAAAACAAAAAAAAAAACATACACAAACAAAACCAAATTAAACCCTGCGGCTCGTGACGATACATTGATGTGTACTTAGCGCGTCCTCGACACAGCCGGCTGTGTCGAGGACGCGCTCAGTACAGTTCAGACAGTTCAGGCATTGCAGTGCATCAGAGGTAAAAAACTATATAAATACTGTTCAGTTTCTTGCACAGACCGATCGTTTTGTGTCTTTACACATCAATGTATCATCACGAGCCGCAGGGTTTAATTTGGTTATGTTTTTTTGTAGTTTTATTGTATGTTTTAGCCGCGATTCACATTCACCTCCATTATAAGACTGACAGACTGCAACGGTTTTAGTTAAAAATCTTCGTTTGTGTTCTACTGAAGAAACAAAGTCACCTACATCTTGGATTCCCTGGGGGTAAGCAGATAAACATCAAATTTTCATTTTTGGGTGAACTATTCCTTTAAGCAATGGTGAAAAAAAATTGGCAAAATGCCTGGGGAAAAAAACTCGTAAAACTGTATTCGGCCTTCGGCCCAGTGTTTCATTTTGTTCGGTTTCGGCCAAGAATTTTCATTTCGGTGCATCCTTAATGCATATTGTACATAAAAATTGAGCTGACTGAAATTGGTTATTTCAGTCTGTATGCTTGGCTTTACACCGTAAGGGTACACAGTGGTTTTTGGAAACAAATGAATGTTTACAAGATACTGGGTTGTACAGTGTTTTTGTATACCATTAGAAATGAATACTTTTGTCCAGCAACAATGTATTGAATTGATCAAAAGTTACAGTAAATACATTTAGAATGACACTGAAGACTGGAATAATGGCTGCTTTGCCATCACAAGAATAAATTACAATTTAAAATATATTAAAATAGAAAAAAATTGTTTTACAGTATTTTTGACCAAATAATTGCTGCCTTGGTGAGCATAAGAGGCTTCTTTTAAAAACATAAAAAAGTTACCAACCCCAAACTTTTGGGTGTACATCTGTAAAAACAAAAAAAAAATGTTTAGCATTTTTTCATGGATAAATTCTGATCACAGTTAGATTTAATAAATATTTTTCCCCTCACAAGCACAATTATAATTATTGTAAGTAGTTACAATTATGTATGCTAATATTAAAATTTTATTTAATTAATGAATTTATGACGATTAGAATTAGAATTTATATTATCGGTTGTGGTATTATCTATTTACGCTCTCTGACACACAAATTCAAGCAGATTATTTTTTCTGCTTAACATGCACTCATGCCTCTTCCTATTATAGTGTGCAATACTTGCTCAGTTGCTCATTTTATGACATTATTCAAAAGCATGTGTCTATTAAAATGAAAGACAGATTGTATTCCCTAAACATGTGATGCGGCATTGGTTTTCCATCAGGAGCAGTACCTCAGGCAAGCCTCCATCTTCGTCAGCCTCTTCTTTATCAATCAGACCGCCTACTCCTGCTACAAGTGCGTCCCTTGTTCGAGGCCCAGGTGGTGTGGGGACAATAATACCTTCCTCTCGACCAAGTCCTGGTGCTGTCTTCACGCCGTCCCCCAACCTTCCCCCACCACCTCCTCTCCTGCAGGTGTCACCCCACACTTCAACAGGTAAAACAAACTTCACCAGCCATTATGTGAAAAATACTAAATGCTAACAACTGTTTACTGCATTAACAACATTATTTAGTGACAATGAAATCATAAAAAAGAAATATGTATATTCTTGTTTAGAAAGGTGAAGTTCTTTCTTTTCTCTTTGATTAATAGATCAGGATCTGATCTGTCAGGACCTGCCAGACTCAAATGCTGGCTCTGCACCTGGAGGACCATCTGTGTCAAACTCGAGCTCTGGGACATCTAGCAGATCCTCCCAGGCCCAAACGTCTATCCCTACAATGGCCTACCAGTTCCATCAGCACAATCACCAGCACCAGCACACTCATACTCACCAACACTTCTTACATCCCACAGCTGCACCACCACCACTGGTGAGGAGTCAACTGTAGCCCATGGAGGGCTAGTTTCAAAAAGTGGCTGATTATGAAATTTCACGCTTTGACATTTCTCTTCTGCTTGTTGTGTTACAGTTTGATAAGTATCCAAGCAAAATAGACGGTCTCTTTCGACACCCAGTAAGTTTTTTTTTTTTTAACATTTGTATTAATGAAGTTTAATTTAAATCTGCTGGGTAGTTTTCAAATTTGCTGTCAGTATAGCAGGTCTCTGTGGAACACATAAGTGCTTCTAGTTTGTGATTAATTATTTATTTTCTCTCCTACAAAGTTTTTTCCTCAGTACCCACCCCCAGTGCCCGTTCTTCCGCCCACAGGACCTTTCAGATCATTGCATGGAGCTTTTCAGCCTAAGGTAAGATTTTTGTTGTTATTTGGGCATTGTTTTGAATATTAAAATCTGAAAGCTTGGTGTATAAATATTAAAATCATTCAGGTGAAGAATGCTTGCATATTACCACAATATCTAGTGATCCTGGGGAGATAATATTGTGCTGTTTGTCAACCACATAAGAGCATAAAAAGGACAATCACTTCATCAAACATTTAACAATAGTCAGTAGGGATGTAACGATTCACTCAACTCACGATTCGATTCACGCTAATATTAAAATTTTATTTAATTAATGAATTTATGACGATTAGAATTAGAATTTATATTATCGGTTGTGGTATTATCTATTTACGCTCTCTGACACACAAATTCAAGCAGATTATTTTTTCTGCTTAACATGCACTCATGCCTCTTCCTATTATAGTGTGCAATACTTGCTCAGTTGCTCATTTTATGACATTATTCAAAAGCATGTGTCTATTAAAATGAAAGACAGATTGTATTCCCTAAACATGTGATGCGGCATTGGTTTTCCATCAGGAGCAGTACCTCAGGCAAGCCTCCATCTTCGTCAGCCTCTTCTTTATCAATCAGACCGCCTACTCCTGCTACAAGTGCGTCCCTTGTTCGAGGCCCAGGTGGTGTGGGGACAATAATACCTTCCTCTCGACCAAGTCCTGGTGCTGTCTTCACGCCGTCCCCCAACCTTCCCCCACCACCTCCTCTCCTGCAGGTGTCACCCCACACTTCAACAGGTAAAACAAACTTCACCAGCCATTATGTGAAAAATACTAAATGCTAACAACTGTTTACTGCATTAACAACATTATTTAGTGACAATGAAATCATAAAAAAGAAATATGTATATTCTTGTTTAGAAAGGTGAAGTTCTTTCTTTTCTCTTTGATTAATAGATCAGGATCTGATCTGTCAGGACCTGCCAGACTCAAATGCTGGCTCTGCACCTGGAGGACCATCTGTGTCAAACTCGAGCTCTGGGACATCTAGCAGATCCTCCCAGGCCCAAACGTCTATCCCTACAATGGCCTACCAGTTCCATCAGCACAATCACCAGCACCAGCACACTCATACTCACCAACACTTCTTACATCCCACAGCTGCACCACCACCACTGGTGAGGAGTCAACTGTAGCCCATGGAGGGCTAGTTTCAAAAAGTGGCTGATTATGAAATTTCACGCTTTGACATTTCTCTTCTGCTTGTTGTGTTACAGTTTGATAAGTATCCAAGCAAAATAGACGGTCTCTTTCGACACCCAGTAAGTTTTTTTTTTTTTAACATTTGTATTAATGAAGTTTAATTTAAATCTGCTGGGTAGTTTTCAAATTTGCTGTCAGTATAGCAGGTCTCTGTGGAACACATAAGTGCTTCTAGTTTGTGATTAATTATTTATTTTCTCTCCTACAAAGTTTTTTCCTCAGTACCCACCCCCAGTGCCCGTTCTTCCGCCCACAGGACCTTTCAGATCATTGCATGGAGCTTTTCAGCCTAAGGTAAGATTTTTGTTGGGCATTGGGCATTGTTTTGAATATTAAAATCTGAAAGCTTGGTGTATAAATATTAAAATCATTCAGATGCTTGCATCTTGCATATTACCACAATATCTAGTGATCCTGGGGAGATAATATTGTGCTGTTTGTCAACCACATAAGAGCATAAAAAGGACAATCACTTCATCAAACATTTAACAATAGTCAGTAGGGATGTAACGATTCACTCAACTCACGATTCGATTCACGATTTAGATTTTTCGATTCGATTCACGATTATTATTTTTTTTTACAAAATGAGATTTAAGACAAATTATAAATTAAATGTGTCCTTTTATTATTGCTTGGACAAAATGCTGCACATTTCTTTGTGAAATTAAAATATAACGCTATAATAATAATAATATACTAATATAGCACTTGCATATTACTGCTCTTATGTTGTTTTGATTGCTTCTATTGTCCTCATTTGTAAGTCGCTTTGGATTCCATGTTTCCCTCAATGAACCGCAGTTCCCCAGTACCAGCAGCACTCATGCAGCCCCAGACCATGATGCTACCACCACCATGCTTGACTGTAGGCAAGACACAATTTCCATGGTACTCCTCACCAGGGCGTTGCCACATGCTGGACACCATCTGAGCCAAACAAGTTTATCTTATGGCGCTTTTCCACTGCATGGTACGACTCAGCTCGGCACAGCTCAGTATGGTACGGCTCGGCTCGGTTTGCGTTTCCATGTGTCGTTTATAGTTGCGCCGCCTCTACTGCCGCGACTCCTGAAAACTTTTTCATTCTGCATCGCCCCATCAAGCTCTCGCTGGATCCGCTCCTCTGCTATCAACGAGAGGAACGTCTGTACTTCC